CATCCATCAGACCTACTCATATCATTGTCGGAAAGATTTCGTCTATCAATTCCTCATTATCTTATGCGGCCTAGGGTGAATAGAGTTGTTGTATCGAAATATGACCAATTTAAATAGAGCCATACTCATTACTTATAAGGAAAAACTGGTTTGGGAATTGGCTCCTAGTGATTTGGAAGGAAAAATTAGTTTGAATTGGTCTTTCCGTAAACCAGCTGCAACCGCATATAGTCACTTTTCATATATTACCCACACCAATCTGCAAGGATGTAGAGTAGACATGAAGTAGCCAACCAAGTCATGAGATACCTGATTTAGATTGATATAAAATGTTAGTAGAAATTCTGCCGGCCATCTATTCTTTTGGTTTAGTATATTGGTGCGCTATTTCTTGAAGTATGCTTTCTAGCAAGTATGAAGCGTCACAGCAAGCCAGACGCAAGCTGAGCACCGGTTCATCGGTCTCACAGGACGGCGAGCCGAGGGCTTATGGGCACAATCCAACAGTCTTTACTACAAGACACTATTCCTCCTTCGGTTTATGGGGAGATGGATTTAGGAATTGCTTCCGACCAACATTTGCTTCCAATCGCACAGCCGAGTCACCCTAGCTTCCTAAGGGCTTCCTCAGAACTAACTTGCTTCGTATTCTTAAAATGAGATGGTACACTCCACGAGTTTGACATAAACATAAGCAGCCTTGTGAAACAATGAATTGTAAGAGAAGGACCGAGGTCATTGATAATTGTCTTCCAAGTGCTTTGTTGCGCTGGTAACCAGGAGATTTATCCTTTTTGTATAATGTAAGCAAGTCAGGGGAGGTTTATAGATATCCTGACTCGGTGGCTTATCGTCACGTCCGGGCGCAGCTTGAGATTGTTGCGTTTGTCTTTGGGAGTGCCCTGACCAGGTGGCCAACTTAGGCTTGTTGCCTTCGCCTCGTAACCCGAAGCCATGCTATCTCTCTTATCACAGATAACGTTCTTCGTCTTGCTTTTCACTTGGCCACGGAAAAATTCAGCAATGAATTTGTCATCTTCAACTGGTCCACCCCTAACCGCCTCGCTCCAGCCAAGATAGGGCATCAAACGCCACTCGTCGGCGTTATCAGTGTCTCACTGACTGGACCTTCCACGTTTGTTGACATTTCCAGCCAGCGTGAAACCGCGCCCTAATATGTCGACCTGCCGTAATACGTGTGACCGATTTGGCTGGGGCTGTGTTTACAAGTCGTCATGTGCCTACATCTGCTCCTCGAGAAGCCGGCTCGACACGTGTTGTCAGGCTCTGATATGACAAGGGGATTAGCCGAGGCCATGGTTTTACAAGTCCTAAGTTGCGCTGGCCGGTCGGTGACTCGGCCAGCAAAGAGCATGAGCCGCATGGTAAAGCACTGACAACCGGCTAGTCTGAATTGCTTTAAAATTAGCATTTTAGCTATTTAATTTCATGCATGTGTGCGTTGTAAACCTCGAATTCTTGTGGCTAAAACTGTTAGCACTCACTCAATCGAAAAGAAAGCGACTAACATGTTGGAGGGGAAGATTCCGGGACAGACATCACGACGTAGCAACAGATGATGCTTTTACGTCATTGAAATGCATTACTGCCAAAGGCATGAGTACTATGCCATATCTGACTTGCTAAATGCGATGACTCTCAGACCCATCTAGGCGTTAGAATATCTGGGCAATTCACAGCGTATGAGAGTTCCAGTCAATCTATAATGCATAGTCTGAGGAAGAAGTTTTCACACAATCATACGCCTAGACCTCACGTTAGTCTTGCTTATCAAATAGTAATATGAGATGTATTCACCCTATTTCGTTTAAGGTGATGAATGTCTGGTAGTAGACTTTACCCACAATGACATAAGTAGAGCTGACGTTTCCTTGAATTTTACATTGCCTTGCTTTCTCAAAAGTTGTTCTCCTCCAGGCTGAGGTGGACTGCAGTTTCGACCTCGCATTGGTCTTATCAACATCCACAGCGGGAGTCGAACCGTGACAGTTCAGAATAGGAGCTTAACACGTTAACCACTCGACCACATTGCCCCGATTTCCATTGGGTCACAGGGCAGGTGTGAATTTCAAGAAGGGCAGGCATTTTGCCATATCATATTCTTTAATGGGATTGTCGATGAAGCAAACGTATATTTGCTATAACAATCGACTACGTTACTTATTTTGCGTGTTTGAGTAGAGTTTCGAGACTACCAGTAAATCAGTAATATGAGATGTATTCACCCTACTTTTAGGAAAGCAAGAAATTCTATGGAAACGTCAGTTCTATTCATATCATTGTGGAAAAATTCTACTACCAGTCCTTCATCACCTTAAACAAAATAGGGTGAATATATCTCATATTACTGATTTACTGGTAGTCTCGAAACTCTACTCAAACAGGAAAAATAAGTAACGTAGTCGATTCTTATAGCAAATATACCTTTGCTTCATCGACAATCTCGCCAAAGAATATGATATGGCAAAATGCTTGGCCTTCCTTGAAATTCACACCTGCCCTGTGACCCAAGGGAACTCGTGGCAATATGGTCGAGTGGTTAACGTGTCAAGCTCCCATTCTGAATTGTCGTGGTTCGACTGCCGCTGGGGGTGTTGATAAGACCAATGTGAGGTCTAAACTGCAGTCCACTGGTGCATGGATGAGAACAACTTTTGAGAAATCAAGGCAATGTGAAATTCTATGAAAACGTCAGCTCTACTCATATCATTGTGGGAAATTTCTACTACCAGTCCTTCATTACCTTAGACGAAATAGGATGAATACATCTAATATCATCCTTACAACCATATTCAAGCAAACGAACCAAGAAAACTCACCGGTTCAACTTACTGTTGG